CTGTAAGCACCGTTTCCATATACTCAGAGGAAGGATGTGTTTCATTTTACTGTTCATTTATCTTAACAAGTGTTTGGCACCCATTTTTGGGAAATTATAAATTTTGGAATAGTGATTGATGAAAAAATGTGTGGTTGAAAAGTAATGAAAAGTTTTAGATTTGTGTATAATATTATTTTATTTGGAGAATGTGTGGTTGTAATTAAGAAAGAGAATTTTTTTTTAAAAATTAATGGATGCCAAACACCCTCTAAGTGACTTAATTAGGCCCATTAAAATATAGTTTCACTATATCCTGATTTCATTGATCAAAGAATGGTAAGCATGCATGCTATATGCTGTCAAAATTAATCTTTAAAACACATACCATACTCTTATCCGTTTCCATGAAACTCAAGAGGACCAACTATTTAAAGTGAAAAGTACACTAACGCATATTATTTCCATTTCAGCCCCTCAAGAGATCCATCTCAGAAGTGACATTGGAACGAATGTCCAGTTTGCTTGGTTCCTTCTCATTTCTTCCACCTAGAGAGGATAGAGGTACAAGAACAAGGCATGATATGCATATTTGAAGATCATGAATACATGCTTTACAGCCTTCTGTTGTTTTGAGTTGATTTGCATTTTGTGTTTGTAATAAGAGTGATGTTATTTATCATTATAACGATGGAATATCGGTGATGTGACAATTTAAGTGGAATAATGGGACAGGACGGGACAATTTTCATGAGAGGGGGATTGAACTGTCCCGTCCCATTATTCTACTTAAGTTGCCACATCACCAATGTTCCATCATTATAATGATAGATAACATTACTCTTTGTAATATAGTGGAAGAGTGACAGAATATGGAGGTATAAATGCATTATCCTATTTAACAAGATAAATGAATATTAATGGTCTAAGAACTGCTTTAGGGAGTTGGCATGATTGTATGATGCCTGCCTCTTTTTTATTCTTTTATCCTTTATAAGTGCGTTTGGACCTTATAGGACAAATGACAAATTAGTCAATCTTTCAATTTGTAGATCGGAACTTGGTGTTGTTCCATTCATGCTTCAAAGAGATATGTTGTTAGATATCTTGTTATTTGTCTTCAGGATGTAGAGAATCAGGCAAATGGTAGTATTAAGTTATTTGAATTGCTGACCAACTTTTTGCAGATAAATATTTTAATGTGAAGGCACATTCTTTTTTTTTCTTGTATGTATTTAAATTTCTGTATCTTTCAGCTTATACGTTTTTTTTTTCATGAAGGTGAATATTTGAGGCAAAGCACTGGATTGGATGCTAAAGCAAGGTATGCTTAGCTTAAATTTAACATACAACATCAAAAAGACAATATTGGTCAAATGCATATATTACCCTATATTCTGCTCATTGCAGGAGTATGGAAGGAGTCGTCAACCCTCTAAAGCATCGCAGAACTGCCTCTGTCTCTTCTGATATGAGTAGCATTAGTGCTCAGTCAGCTTCTTCAAATCTAGGTATGTATGATATGTCTGTCTAATTACAACTTGAAGCATATGGTCCAACTGGATTAATTGCAACATGTCTAGTTACAAGCTTGAAGCGTGCTGTCCAAAGAGTTGTGTAATCACTACTGTAAGTTTCTGGTCCAAAGTATATATCACATTGCAGCTGGAATTAATTAGTCAATTTATTCAATATTTTGGTCAAGAGTTTTTTGAGAATAAAAGCCTAGTAAAAAACCAGCCTATTAGATAGAAACACCCAAACTGGTTCTAATATTACTCCGTTCTTATAAAAAAAATCTATGACATATATTTAATTGATTCCGCTGATCAAAAGGCCTACATCCACCTCTATTATTAGTATGTTACATTCTGACAAAGGCTAATCATTTTTTACAACAATTTTAATATTGAATTTGTATGCTTTGTTGATTGTTTTTTACAACAAAAAAATTGATTTTGTTTACCTTTTTGATCGTTGCTGTGACTTTGTAGCTCCATCAAGGCGCAATAACGCTTCATATTTTGATGAGAAAGTTCTTTTACAGGCACTTTATAAGGTATTGTTAGAATTCTTGTGTCTTATTTTGATTATTCTCTCTTGGACACTATTCGATGGTGAATATAGTCTGAAAATACTAGTTCGGGTTTTGACAATTTCTTCAGTCATTTTTATTAAAGTTGCTATTACTCATTAAATTCTATATGGGACATATGTTCACTTGCAGGTGTTGGTTTCTATCTCAGAAACCGGTTGCATCATTCTCTACATCCGAGATGTTGAGAGATTTCTTGCCCAATCCTCGAGACTGTACAGACTATTTGACAGAATGTTGAAGAAATTATCAGGATCAGTTTTGGTTCTTGGTTCCCGAATGTTGGACCTGGATGATGAGTATGGGGAAGTGGACGAGAAACTTAGTCTTTTATTTCCTTACAACATTGAGATTAGGCCACCAGAAGATGAAACTCATCTTGTGAGCTGGAAAGCCCAGCTGGAAGAGGATATGAAGAAGATTCAGCTTCAGGATAACAAGAATCACATAGCAGAGGTGCTTGCAGCAAACGATCTTGAGTGTGATGATCTAGGATCAATCTGTCATGCAGACACGCTTGTTCTCAGTAACTACATTGAGGAAATTGTAGTTTCTGCTATATCGTATCATTTGATGAATAACAAGGATCCAGAGTATCGTAATGGGAAGCTTGTTATATCCTCTAAGAGGTGCCATTAGTTACCTTTTTAACGTTCAGGATTCTATTTTCCTTTTCTGTTTGTTACCACTGCTTTGTAGATTTTCTATGCATTTATTTTTCTGGGTGTGGTTCAGTTTGTCCCATGGATTAAGCATATTTAGAGAGGGAAAAGATTGTGGCAAAGACAGCTTAAAAATGGAGCACGATGCTGAATCTTCAAAGGTTTGTCGTTTATCTTGCAATCCAGTTTTCAAAAATTGGACTAGTGCTGTGTGAAATATTTCTGGACTTAGTTATGTTTCTTTTTTCATCAATAATAGGATTCTGAAGGGAAAGATAATGCTGCTGCAAAACCTGAATCGAAGTCCAAAAAATCATCGTCTGAGAACAAGAGTGAGGGTGAGAAATCAATTCCTTCAACAAAGACCGATGGTGAGAATCCATCGGCATCAAAACCTCCGGTAAGTTCTATTCTGGTTATTCCTGACAAAATGCGTTTGGAATTTCAAATTTTTATTCCCATGAAAATTTCAGTCTGACTCTCTTACGATAATCTCAGGAAGTTCCTCCTGACAATGAATTTGAAAAGCGCATAAGGCCAGAGGTTATTCCTCCAAATGAGATTGGAGTGTCATTTGCCGATATTGGTGCCTTGGATGAGACCAAAGAATCACTTCAAGAGCTGGTCATGCTTCCTCTTCGAAGACCAGACCTTTTCAATGGCGGGCTTCTTAAACCTTGCAGAGGCATACTGCTCTTTGGTCCTCCGGGTACTGGGAAAACGATGCTTGCAAAGGCCATTGCCAATGAGGCAGGAGCAAGCTTTATAAATGTCTCAATGTCCACTATCACTTCAAAATGGTTTGGGGAAGATGAAAAGAATGTCCGAGCCCTTTTCACCCTGGCAGCCAAGATTTCTCCTACAATCATTTTTGTGGATGAGGTAGATAGTATGCTTGGGCAACGAACTAGAGTTGGAGAGCATGAAGCAATGAGGAAAATTAAGAACGAATTCATGACAAATTGGGATGGCCTGTTGACAAAACCTGGAGAGCGCATTCTGGTTCTGGCAGCAACAAACAGGCCTTTTGATCTTGATGAAGCAATTATTAGGCGATTTGAGCGCAGGTATACTCAAACAATTATCCAAGTGTGTGTTTATTTCTTGACTCCAATCAGACTAGGCAATACTAGGTTCAGACACGCACTTCTATTGACTTGAGTTTCACATCAATGGTGTGAAGCTTGTACATCACTTTAGAATTTCAGGAAAGTTTTTTGCTAAGATTCTCTATTGCAATCTTCTCCAAGTCTCCACCATTCTAACTTGTTCCAGATTTCATTCAGAAATTGGAAATTAATAACCAAGTTTCTTGCAATTTATAATTGTGTTCTTAATTATGATCACCTAAAATGCTGACTCTTATTTAGTTATTTTTAACTTTTTACAAATCAAAATTTAAATATCTCGAATTTTATGTCAACAATAATCAGTGGCATCTTTATTGTGCTTGTGTGATCATACTTCATTCAAGAAATACCGAGCTTTAGTTTGTTGGTGAACAGAATAATGGTTGATCTACCTTCCGTGGAGAGCAGAGAAATGATCTTGAAAACCCTTCTGTCAAAAGAAAAAGTAGAGGACGTAGACTTCAAAGAGCTGGCTGCCATTACTGAAGGATATAGTGGAAGTGATCTCAAGGTTTGTGTTTTTCTTGCATTATGCCATGTTACCCTTTGCTTTTGTCATTAGGCGTTGATTCTTGGCATTAACTGTTGGATGCAGAATTTGTGTGTAACAGCGGCTTATCGACCAGTGAGAGAATTGATACAAAAAGAGAAACAAAAAGATAAGGTAAACATTAACATCTGACAATTAGTGAATCTTCTTACAGAACTTTTGATCATAAAGTCCCATTATCCTGGACATTTCGGAATACCTAGTGCTAATTACTTTGTCTATATAGGAAAAGAAGCCGAAAGATGAAGATGGGAAGAGCTCTGAAGATGCTTCTGCTTCTGCTTCGAAAGAAGAAGCTAAAGAGGAAGAAATAATTACTTTAAGGCCGTTAAACATGGAAGACATCAGGCAGGCAAAGAATCAGGTAATGGGATTTCATTAATTTTTGTTCCTCGTCAATCTTAGTTGGCTTATTGGTTATCATATTTCGCCATTGCCATACACGTGTTGGATAATCATTATGAGACTACAAACCTCGTAACTTCAGGAAAAGGTGATTTCCTTTGAATTTTTTCCAGTTCTTAGACAACGTATAACAATGCTCGGTATCTGTGAAACGTCTAGAGAGAGTGGTAATTGTAATTTTATTACATATGCATTGGAAATTTATATTCAAGGGTATTTCATGCTTCTGCAGGTTGCTGCCAGTTTCGCTTCTGAGGGATCCATAATGAGTGAACTGAAGCAATGGAACGAACTATATGGAGAAGGAGGTTCAAGAAAGAAACAGCAGTTATCATACTTCCTTTAGTAATGTCTGCCATGAGAACTCGGTGACAGACAGCAAGTGTTCATGAAAAACTGCAAAACACGAAATCACAGAAAACTGTTGGACACGAGACGGTCTCTGTTTCCATGACAATATCACCAGGTGCCACTGGAGCTTAGGTTGGTTCTCTATCCATAGAACCCACTTTGCTCCTTGGCTTAAATTTCAGTCGTTATGCTTAAATCACTTTTGATTGCATTTGTACATATATGATTGTAGAAAAGAGGAAATTCGATCATTTATTTGGAACTGCAAGATAACGTTATACCAGTGGTCTTCCAGAATTTTAATTTTCTATATCTTGTATTTGGGCTTCCGAATAGAAGTTTAGAAGCGCTATGAAGCAATTGATGCGTTTGTTGAAGAATGTAATATTTATTTATTTGTGGTAGCACTGTTGTTGAACGGCATATTGTATATCAATCATGTGTATTGTACAACTGGTGGGATCGCTAGCGTGTAGCTTTACTTGTCGGCAATATGCCTGTATTTTCTTTGAACGATACAGTAAGAGTCCGTTTGATTACAAGAATGAAATTTGAGTGGAAAGAAAATTAATTTTAGGGAATTGAATTGTCTAAAACTTGTTTTACTGGGAACTGTTAATTAATTGTGTTTGATTTGGATAATTTTTCACCTGAAAAATATTGAAATTTTGGATATTTTGATATTCGTTTAACTTTGTTTTCCATGAATATTGTCCATTAAAAGAATATAATTTGTTTCCATTTGCCAAAAAAAAAAAGTTTTGTGAGCATGTGAGTGAAAGATGAAAAACTAATTTCATAAAAAATTTGAGCAATCAAACATGCAAAAAGGTGGAAAATGAAATTTAATTTCCATCTTCTATGGAATTGAAATGCAATCAAACAGGGCCTAAGTACATGTCAAAGAGAGTTGGCTCTAACGACTTGTTTGGGAAGATGAACTCTTCAGTATAGTTTAGAAGATCAAGTAACATATCAAAACCGGAAGCTTGCCCTTGATAGTGTCCAATATAGCTTACCAAACATACCCCAAAAGTGTCTACTATGGAAATGAAGAGGATGCGAGTTTTATAATTCCTACTAAAACTTCGTAAATACTAGTCTTATATCCAGAGTAAGCCAAACTGACAACTAAGAAGTTGTACGTATGCTTTCCAGCAAGTATTTTACATGCATTCAACACTTCCAACTTCATTAATATCGGAACCACTTAGATCTTCCAGATGAGGGTAAAGGAGGCGCGATAAAATTGTGTTTGTAACAAGTGATAATTACTATCCGCACTAATAGAAGATAGTTCATGCAATAATGTGACATTTAGTGGCAATATAAACTCGAAAATTTCCTTACAAATATCATATTCGATTAAATTAAGAATTTAAACGTGGTTAAACAAACCAGTAAACATGGGTTTCCTATAATATCTGAGACTTGACAGCAAAATGGAAAATCACCACTACCAAGCATCGCAGTAAACCTAATAAGACCCCACCTCGTCGAGTCTAGGCCAGCTTCTTGTCTTTCAGCGGGCCTCTTGGAATTTTACTCAAAACCTTTTCATTGAACACAGCATATTGTTTCTTTATCTCTGCTTCGGCTTTCTCAGCAAACGCATCAACTTGGTCCTCATATTTCTCGTAAAGTACTGGTACTGTGTGCAACAAAAGAAAACCTGTTTTGCAGGAGGCAAGGTAAAATAAGAGTCCAGCGAAAACCGAATCAGGAAACGCCAACAACAGATTTAAAATGCTAGAATAAGATAATTAAGGTAACTACGCAATAAATCTTTTATGCTAGTGCAAGAACAGAAGTGGACGCTTACCTATATAGAACAAGGTGAGGAAGTTGTAGCAGCTTCCCAGGACTGAAAGGACCCACAGACCAGCAATTACCTAAGAACCAAAATGCAATATTCTTATGAGCACAAATCCTATATCCTTGACTAATGTGGCACAGAATAATTATCACATTTTTCCTTTTTTCCCAACATCAATCCGAGGGACTGAATCAGCAGAAATGATATTACAGGAAAGCGAAAGAATTTACATACTGCAAGGAACTTCTTCAGATCTCTCCCAGACGCAATATCTCGGAGGATTGCAAGAGCCCTGTTGAACTCCATCCCAAAGGCAGAAGCAACACCCAGAACAATATCCTCAGGAATGATGACTTCTGGGATTTGAGGTGGAGACCTAATATGTCAATAAAAGAAGTTTAGATTTCAAGCAAACTAATAGGAAAAATAGAAGTGATTTTATAGGACGATCAGAAAGCATACTTGTTGATAAAGGTAGATGCATTGGACCACAGAAAAAGGATTGATAGAGCGAGAATTAGGATGTGGCATACTAGAGTGAGTAGATGGTATTCAAGCAATTCAAAAAACACCCAAATCGTGGTGGCAACGCCAAGCATGCCAGCAGAAATTTTCTTGTCCCTCCATAGGAAAATGTCAGCAGCTGCCAAAAATCATCACAGTAAGACAATACATGGGAAAGAAGGTGAAATTGTAAATTGTTGACGCCTTCTATTTAATTCCTCAAGCAATGCTCTAAATAGAGTTATCTAGGTTCTAGGACAAATCAATAAAAATGGTAATTAAAGACCTGCATTTCTAACCTTCACTTTCTTTCCAATTTTAATTGCATTCCATTATCGATTGTAAATCACTACACACCAACAAATCAAGAATACTAAAATATATATGCACATACTAAAAATGTGACACCCAGACTAATTCTAGCACCAATCCCTTCATAAAAAGTTATCCTCCCGGTTGAGTGTAATCCATAATTCCACAGCGTTTCTGAGACTGCTAAAGCTACATGTACCACAGAGGTTTGGTAAGATTTCAAAATAAATAATTTATGAACATTATGCTACACACAATTCCAGATCAGAGACTCCATGCACATTCCAACTATACAGTAGCAATTAAGTTGAAGTTGAGTCGACCTTAAATGGATCCCTAGTAAAAATCACATACAATATGATTTATCAAATATATAAGGAAAATAAAAAGTACTAACAACAATAATAATGGCACCAGTATATACACACACTAAAAAATTCATACAAGTCATTGCCGCAAATTAAACACTTCACATCAAAATACTCCGATTCAACATAAATATATTGATGTGCAAATTAATCGATAGAGAGATATATATCATCCGTACGTTTTCCACCGCCTAGAACCTTGTGCACAGGCTTTTCGCGGCCGAATAGGCGGTAGATCTTGGCCTTGACGGCAGATGCCTTCGCCGTAATGTCCTTTCCGTCGTCTGAATCTGATGAGGACGAATCGGTATCGTGAAACTTCTCCGTGATCTTATCAACAATCGATTCAGCGGCCGATTCGTGTTTTTCGTGCTCAGCGGCGTTATCGGCCATCTCTTCAAATCTCCGATCTCAACAAACACCGATCGGAAATTCTTTCACAAAAGTTCGGTGACTTTTTGAGAGATTTTTACTCTCCTTTTTGCTCGATTAGCAAGTGAAAAAAAGAACAGAAAGAATCGAAGGCATTTAAGAGTAGAGAGGTAGAGGTGTGGAGGTGTGAGGTTAGAGATTTCCGAGCCTAAGGTTCGTGGGACCCGAGCCAGATATTCGGAATAACGAAAATTGATGTGGTGCAGGAACGAGGAAAATAAAGAACAAAGAATTTTTTTATCTCTATGAGCATTATTCGAGGTTTAACGGATAGACGTTACTTCTGAGATCTGACGGCGTTTGAAATTATATTTTTAATAAATATAAATATTTAATAGAACTTAAATGCATTCTGATCCTTGATGTCTTGTGAAGATCGCCATCGATTTTGCCATAGTTGGGATCCGACTAACCTCGATTTTATAACAAAAACTTCTTAGCCCCTGCTTCACGTACATTAAAATTTTCATTTTCATTCTTTTACTTATTTTCAATCACATATTTTTTAATAAAATAATATTTTCTATCACGTCAATAATTTTTTCTTCTTTTTCAACCACACATTCTTCATCAATCTACTGTTTCAAAATATATTCTTCCAAAATAATACGGCTCAAACACATAAATTGGGAAATCTAGGTAGACCATGTAAAATTGAGCTTTCACCCAAATATATCTAGGTAGGCCATGTAAAATTGAGCTTTCACCCGAATATAATCCCCAGTTGGTTTAGCTAAAAAAATTGATAAAAATTTAAATTAAAGTTAATAATTTACTTTAATCATATATTTTAATGAGACCTACAAATTTTATCCACTTTTCAACTACATATTTCATTAACGTTCATCAAAATCTACTAAATATATTTTTTAACGAAGTCAGGGGCCAAGGCCACAGCTCATCAAGCCATGGCAAGGGTTCTTTAAAGCTAGTGTGTTATGTTCGATCTCAATAACCCTATTCTTGGAAGTAAGTCATTCAAAACCTACTTGAAGTGAATGTCATATCATCAAGAGTTCAATCACTAAGGCTGTAGAATTGTCACAAGCACCGCTATCTAATAATATACTATTAGGCCCCGTTTGATAGGCTTTATTTTTTAGGGAACTGGGAAAATATTTTTCACTTTCCACTTTTTTGGCGGTATGATAGGCAAAATTTTTCACGGAAAATATCTTCCGGGTTTCGCTCACAAGTGTGCATTTTTCAGGTTTTTGAGGAAATTTTGGTGGGAAAAAATTTTCCAAGCTGGCTGCAA